ATAAGGTAGATAATAGGAAGGGCTTATCACACCAATGACAAAGGGCACAAATGCTCAAAAATCAAAGTAAAAAAAAAAAAAAAAAATTTAATAAAACACATAGGGTTGTACAATAAGATGATTACATAAGTATAAAAACCGTAAAAATCCAAAATGCATTTCGGACTATTTTCCAATGGGAAAAATAGTTCCTTATCAGTTGGTAATAGCGACAGGTCTTAGTATACTTATAAAGTATACTAAGACTAGGGTCTTAGTATAACTTAAGGTCTTAGTATACTTTATAAGTATACTAAGTATACAGCTTTAAGTATTTAAGTAAGCAGCTTTTTGCTCACTAATTTGACAAAAATCTTAAAAGAAACAAATTACTTTTTGGGAAATCACTGGCTTAGAACCTGAGAATATCATAGGTGTACTATGAAAATTTTTGAAAGCTATTAAATAGATTATTGTTGAAAGTAACCCAAAGAACAATAACTGTAAATGTCAAAATTAAAACCTTTTCAAATTGATTATACAAATTTTTCATTGTTATAATAAGTAAATGTGTATATAAAATAGTAAAAAACATATATTCATAAGCAAAATTATGTGCATAATACCAGGTATTTCATTTGAAATGAAATTTTCTGTAAATTAAAAATGTATCTATAATTGTCTGTATTTAGTTCAAATTATTTTAACTTAGAAATAGTGAAACATTGTGCAGATTTCTAAAAGCAATTATCATGCCAGTTTTAAAATGCAAATTAAGACTTAATGTTAACCATTTTCATTTACATAAGAAAAACAATTAATCTAAATAACTCTTGTTGTAACCTGCTGCTATTTTAAGGAGTAACAGTACTGTTTTATTTAATTAACAAAAAATAGAGACAAAAAGAATTAGTTAGGTTAAGTTGCAAGTAATATGGCAATAGAATGTTTACAAACATAACTTTAAATCATACGATTTTTTCTGCAAAAATTTAATTATAGGTTTAAGTATGCCGTGAGACAAAACAGGTTGAAAAACATTGATTTAAGCTTATCAATAAGTGTCTAAACAGGATGACAAATGACCTGGGAAATCTCAAAATTTTGCTTGCAGGGAAATCTCAAGGATTTTTCTAGTTGGGAAAACCTAGAATTTTACAATTTCAACATTTCATCAAAGTGAAATTTCTACTATAATTTTTGACTTCAACCATGGATGACAGTTTGACAGGCAACCAAGGGTTTCTGCTACATTATGCAAATTTTGTCACATCGTGATATTTTCATTATTCTGATGATAAACAGTACATGCCAACAATACACACATGATCATGATGTTCAGCAGTGCTTGTTTTGGTAATCAAAATGGCACATATACATACCATACATTATTTTCCTTAATGCATCCATTCTATGTTGCCAGAACAGTTCAGGTTAGGAATCTGATGAATACTGTTGTCTTTGATAGACTGAGGAAATGTATATCACAGCCTGTTGCAATGGAAGAAGTGCAACAATTTAATTTCTAAGCCAACATTTGGAATCTCTTAATAATTGTTTACCAACTATTCCATCAGTAAAAATTGCTGACTAGACTGATAGAAAAAGGATCTAAAGAAATGGTCAGTCTAAAGCAGTGTTTCTCAACCTCTAACGAATTGTCGTCCCCTTCAACGTAGTATTGCTCCCTTCGCTTCAAAATTCCAATGCCAAGGGCCAAGGCTAACGCCAAATTCATACTGCATTATACTAGTCACTAGTCTATTCAATGTTATTTGTTTAATTATTGTACGATATAACAAATAAAATATATAATTATTCTTAATATAATATTTTACTATATTGCCCAAAAAATTGTTTTTCGCCCCCCAAAATATAAATTGTTACTAATCACCCCCTCAACGTGGAAAAACGCCCACATGGGGGCGATATCGCCCCGTTGAGAAACACTGGTCTAAAGGATGAGATAAAAAAAAAAAAAAAACAAATTTGATTATGAGTAATATGTAATGGAATTCTAAGGTACGGTCAATCGGAACAAATGGAAATATTTATATAAAAGTAAATGATCAAAGTATTTGACACAATTAGAAAAACTGAAAATTTTTACAAATACTGTCTGTAAATTACATAAGGAATATGTGGGTGGGTATGCAGGTAATCATTATGGTGCATCAAGGGAGTGGGGGATATTTACAAAAATATGTAATGCTATATGTAAGTTATGTAATGCTAGTCTTAAATTAAATCAACTGTTGTTTGTTTGTTAAATATGTAAGGATTAAACTTGGGTAACAGAGTGATTCATTTTTGTTTTTTAAGTGTTACTAGTGAACCATACTGTTTACTGTTTGTCACATCTTTGTACTGTACATTATATATGTAGTTAATAAAATGCAATAATGTAATGTTCAGTATCCCATGCTTTGTATTACTCCTTAAAACAATTAAGGGGGTTGATTGAGAATATGCATTACGTATATGGGAGTGGTTATATGCATCAGTTTTATGGAATGTTTGAGCATGGAATGGATGTTGAAAAGTATAAAAAAATTAGTTTTGTACAATTTAAAAACTAATGGAAATTATAGCATTTTGTAATTTATGGGCAATCCCACAATTTCAAAAGAAGTTTTTATATTTATGGAAGTAGTCATATTGATTTCTTATAGTAATAACAAAACTAAAAATCAGGCAGCGCCATCTGTTATAAATGAAAACAACAAATTTGCATCAAAAAATTGACTAAACATTGCTATTCAAACAATTATTTCTAATTAAAAAAGATGTGCCAGTTATCTACCATGAAAACCTACTATATGATCAAGTAATTATGCTGCAGAGCTTCCTAAAAATAAAATCAAAATATTTTATTAAAAATTAATACAAGTAAAACCAAAATACAAAGTTTGTTTTATTAAATAGTCATAAACTACGAAGTGCACTTTTCCAAACACATGTTAAATATGCAAGAAAGCCTACTTCCCCTGTTATGATGTACAGTACAGTACATGCTGGGCAGCCTACTATCCAATATATAGGACATTGTCTTGATTTTGTTTTAACTTATTGACATGGACAGAATAGAAGCTATTGCAGTTTTTTTTATGATAGAGGTGTGATTTATATATTTCTATAAAACAAATTATATGAAAACAAGTTTTTAATCAACTAGGTATTTCAACTATCATCACGTTTAAATCAACTATGATTTAAATGTGATTTGCATAAATTACTAATAAAGTAATCAGAAATTTAGTTGTATTGATTCCCAGATATTTGTAAATACAAATTCAGAAAACTAATCAAAGTTTATATTACTTAAACTACAACACAGATGTTCAACAATTTAATTTGTTACATTACAATCTCATGATATGTCAGGAAAAAAAATCACTTTTTCTTTTGAAAACTCTGGGAAATTTTATTTCTAGTTTCACTTGTAACATGCTAAGCTTGTCAACAAGTAAGATATTTTTCAGAGAAACCACTCCATTATGTCAACCAATTTAGAATTATTACAGATAAGGAGGACACTTTCAATATAGTAGTTTATATATCCACTTTTAATAAGCATAAAAATTGCTAATGTTGTTACTCTTAGTAAATATTTTTCAAAAAAGATTATTGAAAGTGGGTGTATGTGGTATCTCACAGCAGTTAGTGTTTTAATAATGAATATAGCTAACACTTTAATTAACAGATGGCCAGACATCAGGGTGACAAAGATTTCAAAATTTGCCTAATAATTGATTTATTCCAATTAATGTCAGTTATTTGCAAACATTTTAAAATATACAGTATATATTTAAAATTTCTTTAGAATTAATCTGTTCAAAAGTAAATAATTATCAAAGAGTAAATTAGTTCATGAATTAGTCTTTTAATCCTTGGTCTCCAGAGTGGTCGGCTACCATCTTAACTGCTTGGCCATCCAGCCAACATATTTAAAGGTCTAATGTTGAATTCTTGTATATTATGAAACAGGATATGCAATAATTATTTTAAAATTTATATTTCTTAAATATATTTTTTGTTTTATTTGATACAAACAATGTCTAGAAGATATGTAAAATGATTATAAAATTATAAATATATGTATTTCCATATAATTTCAAGATCTATTTTGAGTATATTCTTATTCATGTTTGTTGAGTCATTTATGGGTATCCCTGTGGCCATCGGCCATATAATTTATAGTTTTCTATGTAATATAAGTTAGTCTTAGAAACTCTTTTGTTCTTTATCTTGATTATTTTCTAAATTTTCCCTTCTAATCCGCTTACCCTTGGGGTGGGATTACCATTTCGAAGAAAAGCACGGTGAACAATAGGAGGAAGACCCAGGGGGTCTTGCAGGAAGGAAAGGGAACTCATTCTTGTACCAGGACGAGAGAAGGCAAGGTGGTAGAAAGGATCGTCCTCGAGCAGCGTGAGAGTGCGTGAAGTGAGTGTGTTATGGAGAGTCAAGAAGGAACACGTGGTGCAAGGAAAAGAAAGGACGCTGACGACCAAAGGAGTCACGACAAAAACAAAGAGTGGTATCTCACCCCAGTATTATACGTACGTTAGGAAAGGAAACCCGGGTATTTCTGTCTTGTTCTATCTTCTCTCCTATCTAATCTTTCTTTCGATAGTTATAAGTAGGTTAAGTTCTAGTTTTAGATCTACACGCGCTTGATTGTCGGGTCACGTATAGCACGTGATATCTTTGTTGTAATAGACGGCAAGCCTGTACGAGTGTTTGTACTCGAGAAGTTGGGATCCATAAAGAACCTGCTTCGATTCTTTCTGGCGATAATAAAAGGGAACCGGATTTTATTTTATTTAATTCGTTTCTTTTGTGTCGGTCTGTTCGCGGAACCCATCGCACATCGCTACAAGAATCACAACATCCCTGTCATGAGGGTTAGATCTGTTTTGAATATAAAACTATCTCAAATGATTGAAAAAATTAATAGTTAATTAAAATATACAAATTTTATAATTTTATTTTTTAATTGCATTTTGTTTGTTTTGTAGGCTATAAAAGAAAATGCCATTTTCTTCACCATCAGAACTGGTTCAGTTCAAAAACTGTTTTATTCTTCGAGATCATCAAATCATCAGAGAAGATCTTTGGGTTAGAGATAAAAAAATCATCAATCCTGAGCCAATTTTCTTTGATGAGAAAATCATTGCAGATGTTCAGATAAACTGTAATGGTGCCATAATTGCACCTGGTTACATTGATTTGCAAATAAATGGTATTAAATTAATTTATACTTATATTTAGTACTTAATCTTTCATAAGTAAACATTCAAATTTCAAGTTATAATTTTGCAGGTGGTTTCAGTATTGATTTTTCACACAATATAGAAAACATTGAAAATGGAATTGATCAAGTTGCTAATGGAATTTTAGCATATGGCGTTACCTCATTTTGTCCTACCCTTATTACTTCCAGTCCTCAAAAATATCATAAGGTATCTAATAATTTTTATAATAAACTAATATTTTCAATTCTAGAAGTACTATGTAAAATCAACTAGATGATATTTCCAATCAAGAAGTTAATTAAAGAATTGTGTGCCAACAGTTAAATTTATATTGATCATCTCAAATTTGCACTGAATTAAGAATAGTTTATAACATACATATAAATTAAATTATGACATATAAATTTTTGCTGCTGTTGGTAATTATGAAACCAAAATAATTAACAAAACTATATTTATATAAATGGTTTAATGTTTTCACATTAATAATTTGTTTTCATGCTCACAAGTCAGTTAAATGAAATATACATAGGCTGTTTTACCAATCTCTGATAGTCCATTAAAAAAAACACAAGTGTAAATAACAAAATGAATTTATTACCAAAAGTTAGGTACAAACATGGTTACTTTTTGACATAATCACTACAAAGATTGAAGCATTTGTCATATCTGTGGAAGCTTTTCCATCCCCTCTTCATAGAATGTTGCTGCCAAGGATGTGAGTTGGGCCTTAATGTTGTTTTGAAGATCATCATTAGTCTCAAACTCCTAGCCACTTTTTCTGTTCAGGAAAGAGGTGGAAGTTGCTCAGCGCTAAATCAGGGCTATACATTTGGTGTTTAAAGATGGTGAAGACTTCCACCCAGCTTGGAACTTTTTAATGTGTGAAGACTTCAACATCAACTGGGTCCATGCTCACCAGGGCAATATCGGCAATGAATGCGCCAATGTTCTTGCCTAATCAGCAGCAAAGTCTCCCAATTGAACAGCAAACTTAATCTGAAAACCATTAAACAGCTCCTCTGGACTGATCTACTAATCATTTGGCAAAACCAATGGGGCACTAATCAAAACATCACTTACCAGTTTTTTCCGGATATCACTGCCATCTACAGCTATAACTGGTTTGTCCCCAACTTTCAATTGACACAATTCCTTACTAACCATGGCCGTTTCCATTCCTATCTCAAACGATTCGCTAATCCGGACAGCAGCAGCCACTATACCACTTGCAATACCCAAGACAGAAGTCTCCACTATCTACTTCACTGCCCAATGCTGCTGGAATTTGACAGAACACAGCTCAAACTCTTAGTCAACCAAAGGTGCGGCCACTGGCCACAAAATGATCAGGAATTTTTGAAGGACCTTGTCAATGATAAGGAAACTCATAATCAGCTTATCACCTTAATCAAAGAATATAACAACAGGACTAATGTTCCAACCGGGCCTCAACAGTCAGCTAACTGACTGGTATCCTCCAACATGTAAATATTGTAATTTTCTTATTATGTATATTTTAATCATTATTTGTATTTCATCTTAATAGTATATTATGAAAATTAACTGTATCTCAGCATTTTGATGTATCTTTACTTATTATATATGCTATATTCTCATTTTATATACTAAACACATGTACATAAACTTGTGTTCTATTTTAACAATTTTATTCTGTACTCGTATATTTACTTTTGTTTTGTATGCGTTTCACAATTTGTATGCGACTTACATTATATTCTCTGTATTCAACCTCCAGCAATGCCTAGCGGTGCTGGAAATGTGCATTTTGTGCTTTAATAAAATAACTGAACTGTGTGAAGACTTCCACCTTTCAGACTTCCACCCAGCTTGGAACTTTTTAATGTGTGAAGACTTCCTTTTTTTTCCTGAACTGAAAATGTGGCTAGGAGGACAGAGGTTTGAGACTAATGATGATCTTCAAAACAATGTCTTTAAGGCCATCTCAATTCACTGGTGGCAACATTCTATGAAGAGGAGATGGAAAAGGTCGTCCACAGATATGACAAATGTCTCAATCTTCATGGTGATTATGTCAAAAAGTAACCATGTTTGTATCTAACTTTTGGTAATAAATTCATTTTGTTATTTACACTTGGCTTTGTTTTATGGACCATCGGAGGTTGAAGAAACCACCCTCGTAAATTCCAGTTGTTATTTTTCAACAATTAAGAAATTTATAAATTTAAATATTGGAACAAAATTCAAAAATCATAATAGTACATAACTTGTAAAAGATAGAAATTACTTTCATTTCAATATTTTTAGTATATTTGAATTTTTCAGCTAAAATTTGCAAAGCAGTAAAATATAAGAATCTATCAACATTCATAGTACACTAATAATGAAATGGAATGTTCTTTCATACAATTACATCTACCTCAAAAAGTTTAAAATTATTTAAACTGAAATGTTTACAAGACATCATTACATACATATATAGTATATACACTCTATTATAATATATATATTATAATATATAATGTTACCATAAAACAATTTATTAGAACACCTGTTAGAAAGTTACATCAGAGATACTATCTCAAGCCTTATTTTGTCTGTATCAGAATTTGAATGCCATTTTGTTGTTTTTAAATTTTTTAATGGCATTTTATTTTTTTACATATATTATCATAGAAATTGTCATTAAATGATAGTCAAGAAATTATTACATAGGTATTACAGGAGGAAATAATTAGTAGGATTAAAAGTAATTCATAATAACAAATTAAAAGTTAATATAGATCTAAATCATACTTAAGTTAAATGGTTCAAGTGTACATTTGAACAAAAATTGAGTATGAAGCACATGATCAATCTATTAAAGACTAATATATAACAAAATTTTGCATTCTAAAAATTTACACAAATTACTCTTTGAATGTTGCTGTGATAAATGCAACATATATTCTGTTATCAATAGTTTGTCATTTTGTTAGTTTTAGTACTCAATTGTTTCTTATTCTCTCTGTTTAGATCTTATAACTAAACAGAAATTGCTATGGCAAACTTACCATACAAGAACACAGTTGATTGGTTATGTAGACCAGCGCTGTCCAACTGGCGGCCCGCGGGCCGTATACGGCCCGTTAAATAATTTTTACGGCCCGCGAGTACATTTTACTATGAATAAATTTATATTACTAAATTATTATTATTAATAAAATTATTTTACTACCGTGTTTTCCCGAAAATAAGACAGTGTCTTATATTAATTTTTGCTCTGAAAAATGCGCTAGGTCTTATTTTCAGGGAATGTCTTATTTTTCTAGGAAGAAGAATTCACATTTGTTATTGAACAAAAAAATTCCCAAGTCGAACTTAACTTAGACGAGAGTTACGTATATCCGGTGTGTCGAACTGTCGCCTTTTTATAGCGTCAACATCGGACTCGCTGACCAATTAGTGCTTACTGAACCGTAGCACTATGCAAATGTCATGTGGTTTATCAATCTTCTTGGCCCCCGAAATGTTTGGTGAATAAAAAATGGCCCGCGGGCTATGATAAGTTGGACAGCGCTGATGTAGACTTTATAAAAAGGAAATGCATTTTGTGTTATTCACCTCTCTTCAGTTCTTATTATATATCTGATGAAACAACAGAATAAATTATGATAATAAAATTTTTTTTAATTTCCTTTTTATACAATAAAGTCTACATAACCAATCAGCTGTGTTCCTGTATAAGTTATCCGTAACAATTTCGTGCTTGCTTCTAAAGACCATAGTTAGTTTTGTTTAATAGTTTGTCAGCATAAATTATAATTCATTTATTTATAAAATGAATTTGTTTTATTATGTTAATTTACAAAATATTATAAAAATATTATCTCAATCATTTTTATATTTTCACAAATACTGTATGTAAAATAAAATTATGGTCAAAATTTAAGATTTTTAAAAATGCTTTAAAGTATGTTGTTGTTAATAATATGAAAAAAACAAATACAAAATATATTTAAATATATAAATGATATAACAAATGCTTATAAAAATTTTGAGAAAAAAAATATTTTATAACAAATTAAATAATTTTATCACATTATTTCATACATCAATCCACAAATTGAATAACTTAAAAGTTGATGCTTTAATGAAGGAAGTAAACATAAAAAGACATATAACATTAACAAAAAGGATATTCATCTGAGCTCTTAAGTTATTCAAATGCACCATCAAAGGTATTTACAATGAACTTATCATAAGTACAAGTATCCCTCATATAACACCGTAGTTATGTTCCAGAAAAGTGCCATATTATGCAAATCCTTGATATATGAAATAAAGGACGAGTACAAAACATGGGGTTAAGTTCCAAAAGTTAACAAAACTATACTATTATATTTTGTTACTAAGAGAAATATGCTTAGTAAAGCAATCAATAATTTATTTCCAATCAATAATTAACTAACAATAACAATTAAATGTAATGTATTATGCATTAACATTAATTTTAGTTAAAGAAGGAATTTTCTTTTTACAAAATATCATCATCTGAGCTCTTTTGTTGATCTTAATCAGAAATATTAGCAACATCTTAATTTTTTTTTTATTTTTACCATAAGTTTTTTATGTATGATAAAAGTATGTTATAATAAAAATTTGTTCTAGTGGGTCACATTTGTTCAATCATGGACCGAGCAATTTTTTCCAGAATTTGTGTGAATATTGAATTGTTTTAGTTGGAAACAGCTCGAGAACCAATATACTACTGTATTTCTTTTGTCATTTTTATGAATGATTTTCCTTCAGTTAAGAAAGTTTAATAATAGTTACCTAAAAATGTTTAAATTCACTTTTTACTAAATATGAAGATTGATCTATAAAAACAAAACATGGTGACAGCCTTAAAGGCTAAAATCTGAAACAACAACAATGACACCTGGTTGATAAGAAAGCTAGGACGTGGAAGGAAAAAAATGAACTATCAGTTTTCATTATACCTGATAAACAACACAAAACAAATTGAAAATTTCAATATTCTAAAATTTGAGACAACATGCATGAAAAAAATGTCAACCTTAACTTGTCATCCTTAACTTGTGAAATTTTGTACAATTGATTTTCCAAATTTTTAAACCATGTTAGAGCAAAACCGGAAACCAGGTTGTATAGGGGAATATTCCCAATTTTCGAACTGTGTTAGAACAAAATTGTGTTGCATGAGGGATACCTGTATTTGTTGTATATCATACTTTATTGACCTTAAAAACATAATAACCATTTATATGCACTTTTGCTTCCAAGGAAATCATGTTTGAATGAACTTATTTTACCAGATATAAACTAATATACAATCCCATCAAGATTTTGTAATTTAACAATACTACAGTTTTAAAATACTATTTATTAAATGAAATGCTATCATATGGAATAAAATGTTTTTCCTGTCTTAATGTTCAAATTTCACACTTTTAAATTGTACTTTAATTTGAATCATTCCAGCTACATTAGTCTCATGTACTCACTCATTCAAATGAAATGTTTGAGTAGAAAACAATTTACAGAAAAACAAATTGGTATAGTTCTCAAATTATATCATTTTATTTTTCTTTAAGAAATCTGTTTTACTCAAACATTTTATCTTACTGTAAGAAATTTTAGGGTGTTGAATGTTACTCAAAAAATTGGGAATATCAAAAAACAATTTTAATATGCTAAATCAGTGTTTTTCAACCTGTGGGTCGCGACCCCCAGGTGGGTCGCAAAGCCATACACGGGGGGGTCGCGGGTAAAATAAAAAGACAAGTGTTTGTAGGTCCTACACTACAATAAAAAAACTACAATTTCAGTGAGAAGGCTGTACCTGTTTATTTTACAGTTGAATTAGTTTTTTGATCGATATTTAAATCTCAACAAAAAGAAAATTAGATACGTAGTTTTTAAAATCACTGACATAGTTTTAATATGACCGTGGGGGTTGTCAAAATTTTTTTAACTTGTAAGGGGTCGTGTATTCAAGAAGGTTGAAAAACACTGAGCTAAATGATGATAAAATTTCAGTTTTTCAATGTCCTATAGAACAATAATATCCAAGTGATTTAAGGATTAACTGCCTATTTTTAACACTATGTATTATTAGTAGTATTTTGTTCTACAGTATAAAATTGCATTTTATTTTTCTTATCATTAATTATTCTTTCTTTCTGATTCATGATGATGTTTTTTTTATAATTTATAGTTCATTGTTTAATCAAATATATATATATAATTAATATTATTTATATAAAGAATTAATACACATATATTGAGTATTGCAAAGTGACATAAAACACTACGCTTGGGTTACCAAAAGCAGTCAGGAAGAACTTTTAGTAACTAATAAATTGTAACTAAGTAGTAAATTTAACTCCCATTTTATTTATTTATTTTAATTTACAATGGCTCTGCTGTAATGACTGCTGCTCCCATAATAACAATAAAATAACAAACTCCAATTAAAAGAAAACATGAAGAGCAAAACCGGATATACAGTGCACAATAAATTTTATTTGTATCTTTCTGGACATACTATATAAAATTGTAAAGTTTATAGTTAATTATTTGTATTTTTATTTTAGAAAATTATTATTACATACTATCTTTTTCATATTTTACTTATAATCAAGTATTTCTAATTTACAATATATTGAATTGAATTCAATGTTTTAATCAAATTTAGATTATTCCAAAAATACGAAAGAGAGATGGTACAAGTCTAGGAGCTGGAATTTTGGGTAAGTTTTATTTTAATCAATTGAATTCTTTATATTTAGATATAGTATGAAAATCACTATGTAGTGAATTTTATAAAGTACAATCAAGTCATTTTCTATGTAGAAATTTCACTACAAAAAAATACTCCCTTAACGTTAAGGACTTATTCCGAGATAACTCGGGCAAGTTACATAGCGTTACATAAAACTCGGGCATTTGGGCCCGGAAAAAAAATTATTTTTCAATTTTTGGATGTTTTTTAGGTCTCCAAATATTTTAAAAATTTTTTACCTGCGCGAAAAAATTTTATCGCAATTTTAATCAACCTTTAATGACGCGCGATTAACGCTTAATTGTTTTTTAATGTGATTTTTTTTATCAAATTTAATTCATCATTCTAAAGTTGTAGTGCATGGATTTAACTTCGGTAAAGTTATTTAAAGCTAGTTTCTGATGTCAAAAACAACCTCCAATAGTTTTTTAATTAATATATTTTATTATATATAAGTTTAATTAAATCGGGGGTCGGAAATCGCAATAAAAATTTTAATTTTTTAAAATATTTAAAAATATACCGCCAGCTAGTATTCACCCTACTTTAAACTCTTGTCCTCCCGAGACGTCTATGAGAATGTCCCAGGAAATCCGACACCAGATGTTCTCAAGGTCATCCAGCTGTAAACACAATAACTCATCAATGTCAAATTTCGCAGAAAGGCGAGACAATGGAAAATAAAGTTTGAAGCTTTTTCTTCAAAATTAATGCGTTTCTTTCGTTTTTTTTCAGTTTTAAATATTTTTTATGTTTAATTACATTAATATCAAAAATTGGAAAGTCGCAAAGGAGTTAATATATTGGATCCTACTTTGAGACTACTCACTTTATAAACTTTGCTTATTATCAGTCATAAAAGACTGAGCCCACCAGTGGCCGAGTGGTCTTCGTACCCTAAACACTGGGAGTTCGGTCGTGGGTTCGCGCCGCGATCGGACAGGCTGGCTGCTTGGAGTTTTCCGGGTTTTCTCCTTGCCAATAACGACTAAATAGGAGGCCAGTTCCCCATAAAAGTCCTCCCGGAAGGCATTAGTTCCCCTCGCGTAACATCGCGCCCCAGAGAAGGCAACGGGAAACCACTCTGGGTAGTAACTTTCCCTAGTATACACCTTGGCGGATTACAAACCTACGCCAGGTGTCGCCGACGTCAGGAATCTGATATGGCACCGAGAAGAGAGAAGAAAAGACTGAATAATTTTTCTGTTATAATTATGAAGTGCTATAGTTATGTTTGGTTTTTCTCCAATTAGCTTTGTTTTCTAGTTCTGAAGCACAACAAGTTTTTTCTTCAGTTTATGTAATTGTTTAAAACACAAAATAGTTCATTCTACTCAAATAATGTTAGTTATTACAAACAAACACAGTCTACAGATACTTTTAGCCACATAAACAAAACAAAAATTTTTTAGAACTAGTATGGAGACCTCCAGAAGTTTTCACACAAAAGAACATTTTTCAAAATCCAGTTCTAACAAACTTCTTTAGCTATTTCTTTACTTGTTTAGTTGAATGCATAATAAAACTATATTTAAAAAAAAGAAATGCAAAGTTTATTATTGTTACTGTAAACATTCCAAAAAAGTTACCCCTTTATTCAAAAGATTTGTTTTTATCAGATTTTAACAACTGTATTTAAGCAATGTATAATTTTGTTGACCATTTTAATATACAGTAGTCACCACTGAACTTAGACCAGGCCACAGTTAACATGCCATCCAATAGATAGGTTTAAAAAACAGCAGCTTTGATTCATTGCATGAATGTTTTACATAATTTAAAACAAATATACAGTAATTAATCTTTATTTTTGCTAAACATCAACTTGATATCCTGAAAGTTTAACAAAATTGAGCCGGTCAAACTTGAGTCACAGACATCAAAAAACATAGACTACTGTGTCACCCACTTTAATAAACATAGACCACTGCATGTTTAATATTTTGTTGCATCATTTTTGCAACCAAAACGTGTTCCATACATTTCGGCATGCTGTTGACTAGGTGTTCACATTCATCTGCCGTTATGGAATTCCAGATAGTTAAGATCTTCAAATTTTAGTTCTTCAAATGTCTGAGGGTGTGTTTTCTTGCAGATGTCTCTTCATAATGTTCAATACATTCTCAATTGGTGAAAGATCTGGGCTGTTGGATGGCCAAGGAAGAACTTCTATGTTCTTTTCTGCAAGCCATTGTTTTATCTTTCTGCTTGTATGACATGTGGCCTCATCCAAAATGCAGGTTCTATTTGGATATAGCTTTGCTATGTACAGAAGTAAACATTGTTGTAGAATGTTAATGTATTGCTCTGAAGCAAGTGTTCCATCAACAAATGTCAACTGACTCACTGGTGCTCATACACTCCAAAACCATGATGCTGACAGGAAAGTTCACTGAGCAGTTTAACAACAATGGCTCATTAGCTTGATTGGCAGCTAATGACACAGATTGAATAACACTTTGCTTTTGTCTGTTTTTGATAATTCAGATTTTGATTTATCAGACCACAGAATTTTATGCTATTGTTGTTGAGACCAGATTGTTGTAATTTTGTACAATGAAACTTTTTTGTTTCATTGTACAAAATTATTTATCGTAAGTGAAGTTAATAAGTGATAGGTTATGGTGCAGAAAAATCAACTTTTCCTCATTTTTGGGAAGAAGTCTGTTCCTCTTTTCTTCGTATACGTTTCCTGCTTCACTAAAAAGCCTTTCTGAATACACACTGCTTGCAGGAGCTGATAAGTACTTAGCAGCCAGTTTGACTAAACATTGGGAAAATTTAGATTTATGTGTAGCCCACCAGGCAAATGGATCGTCGTTTCTCTTTAAAGTTTTCATGCTCAAGTACTTATCAAGGTCATCCATCTGCTATGGTGTTCTTTGAAGTTGACTTGTTTGATTATGTTATCAAATCAATTTCATATTTATTTTCACATTTTCATGGTCCTTCTCTGTTCTTTTTCCGTTATTTACACTTGTAAGTCATTTCATTGTTATCCACATTTGATATCATCCCTTATCACATACAGTCGACCCCCCTATAACGTACGTTCCTATAACGACAATTCCTATAACGTAGCGAAAAAATTGTAGAAACTTTCGTATAACGTACCTCCTATAACGTCGTTTCGCGAGAAGATTGATAGAGTCTGGACCAATAGTGGATGAGCAGCCGAACTACTTACCTCCGACCCTGCGCCACGCTACAGAGCGGCTAAATTGAGTTTGCTATTGTCTGTTTAGTATTATATATAAATTAGGTATAAATTAGGTACTGTACATATAATTATATATTAATTATATATAAATTAGGTACTGTATATATAATTATATATTAACTTAATTTATTGTAACTTTATTATAATTATATATATGCTTTCTGCCGCCTGGCAACACGCTACGGAGATTTTAGGCTAGTAAGTTGAGTTTATTATCGTCTGCACAGTATGTAAATTAGGTACCGTAAGTCTAATACAGCACTAATTTTATACATTTCTTGTGAAAGAAACACTTCTTATTCAACGTCCATAAAAATTATTTATATTAATGATGTCTCCAAAGGTCAAGTTATTTTTCTGCGAAAAATTCGTTATCAGAAATTGCGGCCGTCGTTTCGTGTGCTGTTCCGCGATGAAAACCAGCTTTAAGCAACGGCGTAGTCGAACGGTACACACTCGGTAAGTAATCCTATAATTTTTTGTTTATAGCATAGTTTATACGGATTATTCCCAAAAAATTATACGTGTTTTGGAAATGTTGAGTGGAATTAGTCTAGAATCGGTTAATTTTATAGAAGAAAACCTTTCGAACAGCCTTAGTCCGTAAAGTTCCCACCTATCGGGCTGCGATTGGCTCATGTATTTAATCGTTCCTACAACGTAATTTTCGGTTAGCGTGGAACGTATCTAAGCGTTATAGGGGGGGTCTACTGTACTGCCATGACACTCATGTCTGTTTGCTACAACTGTCAAGAATTAACACGATTGGCGAAGTGTTGTGACAGCAGACCAATAGAGAGCAGGGTGCGCGACCCTTGCCATAATGCGGTTTGCGCATTGCCCTTGCCAATTTTTGTACATGCATTAATCAAGCCAAATAGTTTGGCTGAATATTAGGCTATTTGGCCATGCTCCTGGCCGAATATTCAGTATTTGGCCTGAGGCCAAATATACTATTTGTTGCGTCATTAATAAATGCCTTAAAAAAAAATTCTTCAGCTTTTGTAGTAGTATTGGTATTATGAGACCAAAAATAAAAGCATTGGGTACTTATGTTTAGAAGTATTCTTAATTACACTTTCTAACAATTTCTATGGAAATTGAAAGTTGGGGAAAAAATTGTTTTTTATCTTTTAGTGTATTTATGTGAATAAAAAGCATTCTTTTTAAATTTTTTTTTATTTTTTATTTCCTACTAATTACTTTATGTATGGAACACTAAATTATTGAAATTCTTCTTTATTTATATTTAATTGGAAAGTGGATGAAAACTTAGATAAAATAGCTAAGTTGTTGTTGTTATTATATGTATATATCTAGTAAATATGATGACACACTATGCAATATAGTAAAAAGAAAAAACTAATAATGAATATTTTCTAGGTATTCATGTGGAAGGGCCTTTCATTAGCAGAGAGAAGAAAGGTGCTCATCCAGTTCAGTACATCAGATCATTTGAATCAGGATTCCAAGAAGTAATTGATGTATACGGGCAATTGGATGATATCTGTATGGTTACTATAGCACCAGAATTAGATCCAGATGGACAAATAATTAAAGAATTTAATGAAAGAGGAATTTCAGTATCAATTGGTAATTTAACCCTTTATAGCCCGAATTTTCATTTTTTGATAAAAAATTTTTTTTCTTATTATATAATCAGAAGAGATGTTTGTTCACAGATAAATAAATAAAAAAAAATTAAAATGTAAATTAAAAATTTTTTAATTATGGGACTTAGTCAGGCTTTTAGAGCACATTTGGACTTAACAAGTTTTTTCTTGTTTAATATTTCGAAAATAAAATAACTTTGTTTTATATATACTTTTTTATATAAACTTTATATAAAGTTTATATAAATTTTATATAAACTTTGTTTTATATAAACTATTTTAACTTTTACAGTATAATAAGGTCAAAATATGAAAAAAAATTAAAATGCATGACAAAACTAAAATAAAATTTATTGGTTTAATAATTTATGATTAGTAAAGATGTAAAAAGCTATTTTTTTCCCATTTACACACAAGAAAACTTTACGTAATGTGCATTTTGTATATGGCTTTGATGTGTATCAATATCAAATGAAATTTTTTTTTATATAAAATTATCTATTTATATATATATAAGTCTTATATGTATATTAACTATAAAAATGTTAAACAAATTCATAAATTTATAAAGCACAATGTAGAAAATACAAATTTCTAACATTTACAAAAAAGATTCCCTCAGGCCTGACGGGACTTATAAGTCCCAAACATATTTTGACTTCATACAGCTTGCAAACCATTAATTCTACAAACATAATACATTAAAATCAAACTACACATATCTAGAATACATATTAAAAAATACAAAGACATTTAACTTGAAAACATTAAGTAGAATTTGGCAACAAAGAAAGCTACTACCATATAGTATCAGCTACTACCATTCAGACAACACACAATGTGAAACTTTTTTCAACAAAACTAAAACAGGAACAGTTTGAAAGTTACTACCCTATAGAAGAAAAAAAGAACACTTTATACAATGATAAAATGTAAGTCCCAGAAAGCTATAATGCATACACTATGAAATAAAAAATATCAAAGATAGTGGGACTAGAAAGTCCCGTCAGGCCATAAAGGGTTAATAAACAAACAGAAAATAATGATGTCTTTATAATCATTCAATCACAATAAATAGATTAAAATAAAAATATAGAGTAAAAGTTTCCATAAAAAATTTTCAAATCATCCTAGTTAATAATTGGTTGGTTGTAAAATAACAGAATGAGTTTTCATTTGAATAAATTAAGTTTAAACCATGGTTTGAAAAATATTTTTTGTAATAAGAAGTATAGATTTGTATATTTGAGTCTATTTCTTGTTGTTATGATTACAATGTTCTGTACATGAACAGATCTATCATATTTTTTTTTAACGCATTCCAACAAGCTAGGATCAACAAGCATCCTAGCTTGTTGATCCTAGCTATATATATGTTTACTTTTCAACTATTTAAGTGTTATAGGGAATATACTATGATTTTTATGTGATGATAAAAGAAAACTAGTTATTTTAAAGATGAAATTGCATATTTTGTGTAATGACTAATTGGCCCTGGAATTCAGTCTTATTCCCACTGAAAATTTAACAATACTGAATAAAACATGAAATGTTATTTCATAAAACTAACCAATCGGTACATATACTCAAAATAGAAACACTAACAAAATTATGATCTAGTTATTCATTTTTACTATTTTAAAAAAAAATAGTTTTTAAAACATTTTTTATTGTTATTAATCATTATCATCTCATTTCAGAAAGCATTTATTTCTCAAAAATGATTTTCTTTTTATATTTCATTTAATGACTATATTATATAAAAATATATATATTTTTAAACTTATTTATTGTGTTTTTAAAAATAGTTTAATCATCTACATCAAATCAGGTAAAAGAAATATGGCCACAAACATTTTCTGTATTTTTACATATCATATTCAGTGCACTAGTCAAGAGAAATGCTAGCTTTTTGATATTCTGACTACGTTAAATAAAATTCATTTAAAAGTAATTTCAAATTCTATGAAACTTTGAATTTCTTAACTTTTGTTTAAGTTGGTATCAAGATTTTTATTGTTATAACTATTCTTTTGCTATCTTCATAAGAGTCTTTCAAGCTATTACAATAAATTTTGATTCATTTTAATTGAGGATAAATGCTATTTAAATTTTTAAAACATTCAGTAGTAATTCATTCTTTGTTTGAATTGTTACATTTACATAACTTATGATGGCTTCAAAGACAAAAATAATTTTGTTGCCTTAATCCAGCAATTTGTCTTTGCTATATTTTTCAAACTTGAAAGCAAGGTATATTAAAATGTTTAAGGTTATTTGTATTAGTACTTAGATGATGGCAGATCTATGTTAAATTTTTCAATATTTTATCGTCATTTCATAACATCATAATTTTGCCAAATATTAATTTCAATATAAAAGTATTTATTTGAATACATATTGTTAAATTGTATTTACAGGTCATTCTGTGGCAAGTTTGAAAGAAGGAGAAAATGCATTCAGAGCAGGAGCCTCTTTTATTACTCATTTATTCAATGCTATGTTACCTGTAAGTAATTCATCTATTAAAAAAAAAAAACATGCAAAAGGACTAATGAAACTTTATGTAGTCAGAAAAAAAATATAGTTTTATTATGTAATTATTATTAGTAATTAATTTAGTAAAATAGAAAACATATTTAAGATTCTTATTATACTAATTAAAAGTAAAATTTCTATTTCAGTTTCACCATAGAGATCCAGGCTTGGTTGGCTTGCTTACTTCCAAAAAACTCCCTCCTGGAAAACAGGTATTCTACGGAATCATTGCAGATGGAATACATACTCATCCAGCCACATTAAGAATTGCCTATAAAACTCATCCTGAAGGTTTTTATATTTCTGTAGTATTTAAAAATTTCCTACTAAAGTCTGTGTGTAGTGTTTTCATATTTTACTTAAATGCCTTAGATCATGTTTACAATTAATTACAGTATGATATGTAATGCATTAGATAATAAGAATTAATTCCATAATATTCTTTAGGAATCTAAATGGCCAGATACATAATTTTTTAGAAAATTCTCAACAGATCATTAAGTCTTGATGTTAAAAGAATGTTTGTTTTAAACCCAATTTATTTCCTTTTTTTGAAATATCTCTACTCTGTTTTAAAGGAAGTTACAACTAATTAACAAAAGTGAATTTATTCTGTATTGGAATGCATGGAAGAAAAATTCTATTTCTAAATTATGCTGTATGAATCTTCAATATAATAAACAGCGATGCTTAAGAAAATTAAAGAAATTTCCAATACTGGAAAGCATTTGGATCATTTCTAATCTGTTCTATTTCTAGTGGCACCTTATGAAATCTTCAATTCAATTCAGTTATTAATTTAAATAAAACTGTTTACCTTATCCAAAAGATTGTTGTCTTAATCTTTCTAAAACTCCTGTCAATTTCCTCTGACAATGCTTGCAAGTCTATATTTCTCCTCTTAGTATTTATGTAAAAGATAAAATTAAAACATTGCACGAAACAATAGGTAAGAACTATATTAAAAAAATAATTTTTACTAATAATCATTTATAGGATTAGTTCTGGTGACAGATGCCATGTCAGCAATGGGTCTCGAGGCAGGAACTCATTACATTGGCGATCAAAAAGTTGACATCAGAGACAATTGTGCTGTTATTGCTGGTACTAATACATTGGCAGGAAGGTAAAAATATTCATGGCAATAAAATTACAGTAATTATTGGAGAAAAATTTGTTAAAGGATTTTTTTTCATTTTTTCTTTCAGTATTAGTACCATGGATAACTGTGTGAGATATTTGAAAGAGGCAACAGGTATTTTTTTTTTTTCACTTCTAGTGAGAGTCAGGATGTAACACTTCTTTAAATTAGAACAATAACAGTTCCAAGTGATTATTTGGTCACAATAACTAATCTGTTTTTTTCTCGTAGGATGTTCGACTGTCGAAGCTTTAGAATCTGCTAGTCTGCATCCGGCCCAAGTTCTTGGGATTACAAAGTCCAAAGGCACCCTAGATTTTGGTAGCGATGCCGATTTTATATTGTTAGACAATGATTTAAAAGTCGTCTGTACTTACATAGCTGGAGAATGCGTGTGGGAAAGTGAAAAGTCCAGATGTGCGGTGAAGAGAATAATTCCATGATTTGACATTGCATCTAATACAGAGTTTTATAGTAAAGATTTTGGGGCATGTTCAGTTTTTTTTTAATTGATTAAAAACAAATTTTGTATAAAAATCAGAGTTTAATGTAAAAATAAATGGCTTATATTTAATGGAGATGTTAGCCTTAAAGCGATGGGACCATAAATATCTAAATATTACATGGAAACATACAGGATATGTGATGATTGAATGTAAATAAGTTATCGTAAGAACGTAGAATGTATATGTATTGTATTATTATCTCCTTTGGTCTTTGATTTTATGTATATAAGTTAGTGCAATTGGGAAATATGCACTGTGGAATAGTAAAATAAGTACAATATTTATGTATTAAACTGCATTGAACCACACAATTTAGTGTCTTCTTTTAGATAGTATATGCAGGAATAAGGAATATTTTTTGAAGTGAATCCTAATTGTTATCAGGAAAAATAATTTTCCACTAAATACAATAAGCAATCAAAAAACTGGACTAATTGACTATTGGAATTTCAAATGTGTGTAAATTAACATTTTAAATACTGTAAACTCCAAATTACAGCATAAGTTCAGGCAAGAATTTTGCAAGGAATGTAGGAATACTTATAAAAATTCAATATATAATTTACAGAATCACTAATTTAGTAAGAATTTGAAAATTCTTATGTTTTTTAAACATTCAGAGTTTCCATTGAAAGGGTAAATATGCAATGGTCAAATCCAAGTTTTTGATGCTTTACTGCATAACTTTAAATAAAATTGTCATCCGTGCAGAAAATTTTGGCATATTGAATGTTAACTTTGAATAATATGCAGCATATTTCAACATTAACTTTAGTATTTGAAAATTTTAAATTACAGCATCAGTGCAGTGCTCAAACTGGAGGACCACAAGACTTAAATGTTTTATGCAAACAGTTTAGAGCAGCGGTCCCCAACCTTTTTATCGCCGCGGACCGGTCAAAGTTTGATAATTTTACCGCGGCCCACTGAGGGGGGATGTTGATCGTTTATATTTTAGATTGACTTAATTTAATAATTTTAATTTAATTGTATTTAAACATGCCTTCAAAATAAAATACAGTTACACCAAAAAATGAATATAATGTGATTTAACATTTTAATTCACTAGAACGCTAAATCAATGAGAACCCTGAGCTTGTTTCATTGCAAGGAGACGGTTCCCTCTAGGGGTAATAGGAGACAATGACACCCGAAGTGTGTTTCTTACGTCCAGTTTATTCTGTTGTTTCGTCGTCCATTAAAAGTCGCACAAACCCGAGGAAATACACCATAGTAAATAAAATGGAAATAATTTAATGTTCCTTGGGCGGCCCGGTACCGGTCCGCGGCCCGGGGGTTGGGGACCACTGGTTTAGAGGACCATTCAACAATTGGGTTTTTTCCTTCAAATTTATAACATTTTAAGCAATATTAATAAACTTTGAATGCCAATGAAAATAAACAATATAGCAAAAGATTCTCTTAATATAGTAGCTATTGACAACAAATAATATGATTCATATAACTGCACTCATACACATTTTAAGACAAACTTGTTACTTTTACTAAAACTAATTCTAATATTTTAATATATAATTGAATTACAGGGTGTCCCTAAAGTCTGGACACACAAGCAAAAATACATTTTCAAGAAATGAAATTTATTAACATTTTATTCAATTGGAATATTATTGGAATGTCCTCAAGATGATTTCCATCATTTGTGATGCAAAGGTTGATGTGCTTTGCAAAATTCACGTGAACTCAATGTAATAAATCCACATCACCATCAATTTTAGCACATTCAATCAAGCATGTTACATTTGTGATTTTCATTGAGTACACCTTTCTCTGGGATATGATAAAGAAGTCAAGGGGGCTAAGGTCAGATGAACGAAGAGACTACTCCACATGACCACATCGTCCAGTCCAGTTAGAGAAATTGTCATTCATCCAATCTCTCAACTTCTTTTTCTGGGTGTACTCAATAAAAATCACAGATGTCACAAAAAAATCACATTTGATTGAATGCAAAAGAGTGAATAAGGTAAAATTGATGGTAATGTGGATTTATTACATTGAGTTCACATGAATTTTGCAAAGCGCATCAACCTTTGCATCACAAATGATGACATTATTTAATATTCCAATTGAATAAAATGTTAATAAATTTCATATAGGCAAAAATACATATTTTCAAGAAGTGTCCAGACTTTAGGGACACCCTGTAGAATGTATAAAATTTTAATTTAGTGAGCTTTTTTTTTTTTTTTTAAAAGTTGGCAGTTAATGAGGCACTCTTCCCGCTCAAAGAGCACTAAGAGAGTTACAAGAGTGTATATTTGGTTTAAAGAATGACTCACCAGTGTATAGGGAGGTTACCCATTCAGTAGTCTGTGGGACAACAGCATGTAATATACCAGGGGTGGCCAAGCTCCTTGATAGTCCGAGCCATTTTTCAAAATTTGAAATTTTTCGCAAGCCGCAATTAAATACGTATTAAAAAGGTATGCAAAAATTTCAGATTACAAATTATATCCGTAGCAAGAGTGATACAAATTGTTTTCTCCAGAGCACAATGTCTTTCATATTTGTTGTTAGTAATTTAAAGGACATTTTGAAACACATACGGAGTGATAGTAATTTTTTAAAAAATAATAACACAAAAATGAAAAGGAAACTCGGATACATCTATCGAGAGCCACAAATAATCCTTCAAAGAGCCGCAGGTTGGCCACCCCTGTAATATACCAAGAAGGGATAGAGAAGAAGTATCAGTAAGCCTCTGAGCATTCCATGTACAGTACATATAGCTTATTACACTAAACAAAATAAAAATAGAGGGCTAAAGCTGAACTTATACACAAGGATAATTACTAAACCAAGACTTAGTAACATATAGTTGTAGACACCATCACCCAAACGTAATATACATATTAAGACAAGAAACACTAAAGAAAACACAAAACAGTACAACAATTGTTTTTTTTTGCTGTTATTATTTTTATTTATTTATTTATATATTTATTTTTTTTTAATTAAAAACTTATACATGTATATATAAGTAACAAACAAATATAAAATATAATAAATTATAAATAGATGAAAGCAGTAGTGGTTAGGTGCAGGTCTACAGAACAGAGTGCATTAAATTATACAAAGTACAGTAAGGATAGGAGAAAGATTATCTAGTTTGGTCCATATTTATTGAAGCTTTCTATGATGCAAAGTTTGAAGATCTTAAGATCATCTTCATTCTGTGTGAGTTCACTTAGTGCCACAGGCCAGGTAATCAATTTGTTTGTGAAGTGTGTAATGAGTTGCTTCTGCCAAGGGTCAAAAAGAGCACAATCATATATTATGTGTTCTACAGTGTCAGGTACATTATCTCACAGTTACAGTTCTGTTGATTTATAATTTTGAATCTAGTTAGATAATTATTAAATTTGCCATGTTCTGTAAGTATTTGTGTTTGCTGAAAATCATGGGTTATAATTTTGCAGTTGTGTGTACTTTCTAATTTCGGGAAGAACTTGTGTGTAATCTGTCCTTTATTATCTTCATGCCAACAAATTTGCCATGTCCTGATTGACCAATGCTGGAGATGTAAATGAGCAAATGCCACAGGTATGTCACTATTTAATTGTGTCATTTAGATAAGTGGTTGTGGCAAGTAAATCGGCAAGCTCATTGCTACCACAACCTGAATGGCTTTTTATCCAAGAGATTTGTGTGTTGTGTTTTTGTGTAACTTGCTTTGAAGAGTAGGCAAGTGTTGTAGTATAGTTTACTGCTAATTTTAGGTGTGCTCAAGGTTTTTGATATGTTTGAGTCTGTACATATGAGTGTGTTGTTATATTTATACAGTCGACCCCCCCTATAAAACTGTTGATAATTCCATTTTATATGAATTCCATGTTGTACCAGTCATTTAGATTTTACAAATACGTGAGCCAGGCTGTGAATGGCACACATATTTGTAAAATCTAAGTAATTTGTAAAATCAGTAATCAGTGATCGGATAACACATATTCTGTGTTATCTATCAGTAAAAACCTTTAACCGAAGCAAAAATACCAATTTTGAATGTTGTTGAAGTATCCATCTGTAAATTGGGATGGAGAGTCAAGTGTCAGCTGATTACATCTAGAATGATCATAGTAAAAACTTACTTATAAATCGCTGAAAATGAAGCAAAACACTAGAAAAGACCCGAAATAAATAAGCACACGAGTCAACAATAAATCCTCTGTCAAGAACAAGAGAATTCCATTGTTGTGTAGCGACTCAGTTTAATGTTAAAAATGTGAGTTTTGTAGTGAATTTCGTCATTCCTATCTATAAAGAGTGGCATTTGGACAGATCATTGCACAATTTTGTCTCAAGCCTGTGCATGGAAATTGTACATAGACTTTTTATATTTAAATTCTTATCTTAGTCCACACCAGCCCTTATACTTAGATGCATTTTTATGAATTTTGTTTTATGATCTTATATAGTATGTTCTTAATATAAATTGATGTCAATTTTTAGTTTTTCTACTATTTTAAATAAGTTTGTCTCATTATCAAGATCAACTATTTATTTACCTAATAAAGAATTTTAATGATAGCTCTTATCAAAATGCAAATCATTTTCAGCTTGAAATAAATATATCATTACACTGTCGTAAACAAAGGAAAACAGTTTCATAATTAACCAAGTATTTTGTACTTAAAAGATTTATTTAACTGTGGTAACAAGTTTAGAGTATAAAAAATTTAAGACACAAGATGCAAGGAATCTTATCATTATTATTATTATTGGTTCCACATTCAGATCAATAGCTGAAAGGATTAAGATGCATTTTAGATCCGTAGCATGAGATCAATGCAATGTAACTATAGCACAATATAGTTTTAAATTTTCTTGATATTCCAAAAATAAACACTAAATGTTAAAATAAAAAATACTACTGTTAAAAACTATGCATAGAAAAAATTAGTATTATGATATTTTTAAACTATTTGCATAAATAGAATAAGTTCAACTGTTGACAAAGTAATATTGTGTTCAAAAATGAATTCACAATCTTAAAAGTTATGGTCAAAATTAAGCACATTTCAAAAACCATTTGAATGATAAAGTTTAATTTAAAAAACTTTAATACATGGCCATCTTGGCTCTTTATTTTTCATGTAAGCAAATGACAGCATTAAAATATTTATGTAAAATTAGAAAATTATATTGCCATTTAAATTACAACAAAAATTTCTTAACAATAAATTTAATTATTGTAAATCTTTATAATCCAAATCTAGAGTAGCAATTATGAAACTGTAGATGTCAATTAATTCTTCAATCTGTAAAAATTAATTATTTTGTATGACAAAATGCATTTTAAGTTAAAATTTTTTTATTAATTATACTCACAATTTTCTTTGTGGGTTTTCCACTACCATGTCCAGCTTTAACATCTACTCTAATCATTAGTGGATTTTTCTGTAATTAATTAATAACGAAAAATAAAAATTCTACTTAATTATTACAGTAGAACCCCTCTAGTCCGCCCTCGGCTAGTCTGTCACTCCGGTTAATCCGACCGTGGTCGGAGTCGAGAAACTTGTCCCGACTCGTCGGTGACTCACCGTCCGTGGCGTTATTCTGTGTTCGTTACAGTATATGTTTTACATTGTGTGTACATGTACAGTTTTGTGTTTCAACAAAGTGAAACGTAAACACGTTACTCTTTCATTAAATCAAAAATTAGCAGTGCTACAAAGACTGGACAAAGGGAAGATTGTTTATTTTACTTTTTTCTGATAATCCGACCTTTTTGTGTTCCGACCATACCCCCAGTCCCAAAGGTGACGGATTAGAGGGTTCTACTGTACAAAGATTCATATCTTATAATGAGAAAATTTAAATCAATTAAATCAAGTATAAAAGTTAATAGAGTAATATTAAACATTTGAATATTTATTCCTATTCATTTAGTGTTTGCGACAGCATAATATATTACACAGCAATAATAAAATGATAGAGAGGTTTAATGGAGAGAAATTTTAAACAGAAAGATAATATTATAAACTCGTTTTTATGCTGTCCTTAACATTTTAGCTGATGCTAAAATAAGATTCATTTCAAACCTGTTTTTCACTACTCCCAATTTTCTGTTGTATTTCTGCAATAAACTTTAATGAATGAAGTGGAACTACACGATCATCATGATCAGCAGTTAAGAGTAATAGTGAAGGATACTGGACAAATTCATTTTCAGGAATATTAATATTATGAAGTGGAGAATATCTGAAATGTTAATAATTTTGTTAAATCAATAATCAATAAAACATATATTTATATTTTAAAAATTTTCCAAAAGTTTGATTTATACAAGTAAAAAAAAATAACACCCACACATATGGATTATTCAAGGATATGAAAATAAATTTTATTATTACTTCTTTATAATATAGTGTGGTTATATATTAGTGTGTGTATTTCAGGGAGGAATAAAAAAAAAAATCACACACAAACATAGTGACCTCTGTTTTGTTTCAGATGATAGAGTAACTAAGAGTTTGTGCCAACCTTGACTGAATGTAAGTGATACTGTGATGGAAAATTAGAAAACCTTCTTTTCCAAGCATACAGTGACTTGCACTACATACCTTGTTATGCTGTAGGATTATGCATGCAATAATTGAATACTGACAACTGAACATTTACTTCCAAGATGGGGCACCTCTACACTGGAGTTTAATTTATTCCACAGGAATAATTTCCTGAATGTTAGATTGGCTGAAGAGGACCAATTTCCTGGTCATCCCGATTCCCCAACATTACACAACTGGATTTCTTTCTTTGTTGTGTACACTCTGTCTTTGACAAACCTACAAAGGTTTTCACTAATTTGTCTTTTCAGTTCTTCAATGTTGCAGTCAGCTGAGGAATAACAACTGAAATGCTCTAACACGACATGAAATTGAATGGGCCTGGTTATTTTGTGTGCTACACAAGGAGCTCATTGAATTTATTTAAAGTGTAAAATATTTTATTTAATGGTCTATTAAATAGAACAGCATATATGTGAATACTTTACTGTTCTTTTTTTATTCTTCCCTGAAATATGCTCAATAATTTATAACCACCTTGTATTTTAATTCAATAATACAAAATTATTCTGATCATTTAGGATGAATGGAATTAATTTGCTTTGCAGATGACAAAATAATATTCAATCTAATTCTGTGTCATTTCTTTTCTAAGTTTCTGCAGTTCAGTCAGTTCCTTTTGATAAATGAAATTTTCCACACACTTGTATTTGATTTCTCTTTCTCAGATTAAACTGTTGATCTCACTGGTCTTACTAGAAAACTGATACTTCAGTCACTTGTTAACAAACCATTAAAAATTGAACAATAATGTTTTTGAAACAGTATTCTATCTTACAAGAACTATATATGATAAAACCACTGCATGTTGAAGAGGTTTTGTTCATTAGAGGTTGAAAGGTTTTGCTCATTGCATATTCGTCAAACTTAATTTTGTATTAAATATAATGGAGTTAAATCATTTGTGAAAAAGTGCATATTCTCATTTACCTTCCCCTTCCCCATCATCGCGTCAGCCAATAAAGCAGCTTCCTAAGATGGCAATCCTACATGACACGATGGGATTGTTGAATAAAAGGGAATTAGCTGTAATAGCTTCGGGATAGTGTTGCAATATTAATTTTATCCAAAATAAGATTACCAATTTATTTCATAGTATAAATGGAGAATTTTCACATTTATTTGGGAAATCCAGAATCAATCTTTCAAATCATTTTCCCTTCTTAAACTTGATGTTTATTAATTAATGAATGTACAGTGCTCATAATGTAAATCTTTAATTTTTCTAAACTAATATAAACTTTACAAAGTATTCATAAGAATCGAACCATATTGGAATTGGGAGAAATTTTGGTATCGTCCCATCACTAATTCTTAAATTTTGAACTAACAAAGGTGTGTGAGCTGGTCACCGGAAGTACTGGTGAACTTTTAGTGAAGCTTGAATACTGTGTGTTAATGAACTGGAAAACCATAAACAGCCAAAAAATGATTGATTTGGCTAAGTGGATATTTACGAATAGAATATCGCTGGATTTAATGTGTTTGCTGATTTGTGCCAGGATTGAATCAAACCCAGGACCTTCACCTCATTCTCTGCAACAAAAGAACCAAGTGGATATGCAAAGAAGGGGCAAAACAGATCACGCAAGGATAATTTCAAAGAAAGGGAAGAGGAAAATCAACTAGACAATTTAATAAATGAAGATTTTTGTCAAATTGAAGAGGATTATTGTAAAAGTAGTCTTGAGGCGACAAAAACTATGAAAATACACAAATATTTCAAACATTAAGAGACAGAACCAGAGGTACAGAAAGAGCCCAAATATATGTTAAAAAATGATATATGAATTAATACAGGAGAAATTTTCACAACTTAATATAGAGTTAAAAGGAATTAAGACAGAAGTAAAAGGAAATAAAAAAACACAGTTTCATTGGAATAAAAAGAAGTAAATTCATTGAAAAAGGAAAACAAATACTTCCAAGGAGAATTAACAAAATTGTCCCAAAAAATAGAAGAAATGGAGGAAATATCCAAGAAGCACAGCCAAATAAAAGGTATGTTGGAATTCAAAGTAGATAAACTGGTAAATGAGAGAAATCATAATAATAAAATTTCCATTCAATTCATTGGATTATCTAAGAGAAGTAAGTAGTCAGTTTATAAAAGAAGATTTAGGAATTACAAATAATTCTATTGAAAGCTTAACTAGACTAACCAAAAATGAAATTAAACCAATTGTGAAAATGTCACTAGACTCATTATACACCAGAAATTTAATTCTTAAAGAATTCTGGAAAATGAAAGTTAACTCCGATAATGAGGAGATGAAAAAAATAATATTTATTGCAGATTTATGCAAGAGATCAAGACTTAGGAGTAAAAAATTACAAGTAACAATTAAACAAGAAAAATCAACAGAAATAGTATAATAACAAAACAGGATTATTACATAAAAGATAAAGTATATACAGTATATATGATGCCAACTTGGATAAAGTGGTACAAATAAGTGATTTTTAGGAAGGAACTAACTAACATCAGAATTAATAAAAAATGGTTTGAAAGAAAAAGCAGACAAATGAAATGTTAAAACTAAAAAAAACAGATAATATAGAACTTGACATTAATAAAGACAGGAATACAGACAATCAGATTAACAACAGTAATTTAAAGGAGATTTCCCTTTTAAAGATAACATACAGCAACAATAGTACCAAAATATTTATAGGATTTTTGAATATCCAAGGACTTCAAGAAAAACTTTCCAGAGATTCCTTAAAAAAATATATGAAATTTCATTCAATTATCAGTTTTACAGAGACATCAACAATTAAAATGAAAGACAGACAGACATAATAAAGTTTATTTTGTCTGTCTAAGTAAAAAAAAACCTTTAAACAATCCAGCAAATCGTTTTTAATATCTTAAAAACGCTTTCGAACGCTTTAAGCAATCATCCTCAGTTATCATTTTGAATTGAATGAAGAATTCGAAATTACATAAAATAATAATTCAAAAAGCGGTTACACAAAATCAGCATAAGGAAAGAGTTGTGCTCAATTACATACCATTCCTCAAAGGAATGATTAAGAAAGTTACCAGAAATAAGAATATACAGATAGTTTACAGGCGTAATCCCAATGTGTACAGACTCTTAAGAAACGATAAAGGCAGTTACAAACACAACGTGATGGCAGGGGTATACTCTATACCAGTGTTTTTCAACCTTCTTGAATAAGCGACCCCTTTACAAGTTAAAAAATTCTGGTGACCCCCAGGGCCATATTAAAACTATGTCAGTGATTTTAAAAATTAAGTATTTAATTTTCTTTCTGTTTAGACCTAAGTATCGATCAAAAAACTAATTGTACTGTAAAATAAACAGGCACAGCCTACAAACACTTGTCTTTTTCTTTTACACAGGACCTACAAACACTTGTCTTTATCTTTTACCCGCAACCCCCATGTAAGGCTTTGCAACCCTCCCTGGTGGTCACCACCAACAGTTTGAAAAACACTACTCTATACCATTAAAAGACCGTAGATTCAACTCCAATTTGGTATACATAGGAGCAACCATGAGAAACTTAAAGAAAAGAATTGTTGAACATAAGCATTTGGTGAATAAAAACAGACTCTACGGTGCTTGCTGCTCTTGCCAAACAGCAGAATATTGAGGTCTTCTGGGATCAGGCGTCGATCACCAAGGCTACAAGATCCAAGCAGGCCATGAAACATCTGGAAAAACTAGAAATTCAAAAGGTGCAGTTGCACACAAACTGTATCAATCATAGGGATGCTGACAGATAGTCATCAGTGTGGAAATCATTCTACGATGAGTTGATGTAGTTTATATAAGCGGGAAAGTTAAGATAATTTTTACTGGATGTATATATTTTATTTTAGATCTATATTTCCTTTTAATTATCTTGTATAATCTTTGCGATTATTTAAGCTTGCTAAATCTTAACGTAAATTTGTATAACCACTTTTTGAATTATTATTTTACATAATTTCGAATTCTTCATTTGATTCAAAATGATAACTGAGGATGATCACTTAAAGCGTTTGAAAACGTTTTTAAGATATTAAAAACGATTTGCTGGATTGTTTAAAGGTTTTGTTTTTAATTATACTTGTAGTTCCAATAAGAAAGTATTTATTTAACCTTATTATGCCTGACACCGCTAGGCACAGTCGGGATGAATATATGGGTGTACATAGAGGTGACATGCCGAGCAGGAAAACCAACAGTGAGTGTAAAAGAAAAGAAAACAAAATACACGTAAATATAAAATCATGATGTCCCAAGTCATGTGGTAAATCATGAAACCGAAGACATTGCAGATTGCATGAAGGTTAGTCAAAACAAAAAGCTTGCATATGTACAGTATGAGAGGATACAGTCCTGCACAACGCTAGTGCAACATACACACACAATGAAAGTACATTGATGGAGGCCTGAACAAAACAAATTAAACCACACATGAACACAGACACCAAGGCGAAAATGGTGTACAGACCTTGTACAGTAACAGACAGAGTAAATGCACCGTACAATAGGCATAAAGATATTATAAGATCTTCAGCAATACAAAGACACGAAAAGTGGGGAAAAACCTTTATCAATGTATTAATGTTCTGTTAAAGTAAAGCTTGACCATCCTTTGAAAAAGGGAAAAGTACTT